CTTCCCTGACCGGCAGCTGGTATTTCACCGCCGATCCGTCCCATATTTATTCTGCTTCAGCCCTATACGGGAGGAGCGCCGCTTATTCGGCCTTCAGCTGCAGCCAGCTGCCCACGGGGTGCGAGCAGACGTACGGGGTGCGCAGGAGAGAAAAACACGGGGAGCGCGGCGACTCCCGGCGGAGCTGGCACGAGGAGAGCTCTTTTGAGAAGCAGTTCAAGCGGAGGAGTTGCCAGATGGAATTTGGGGAAAGTATCATGTCAGAGAACAGGTCCCGAGAGGAACTTGGGAAAATGGGAAGCCAATCTAGCTTTTCAGGCAGCATGGAGATTATTGAAGTATCTTGACTCTCTTCGATGATTTTTTTTTCTCCTGCCCCCATTCCTTCTTTCCCAATTTTCTATAAAACGATTCCCTGTAAATCTGAAATTTCAGAATACTGTTCAGCTCCGGTATGGACAAAATTAACAAAACTGATTGCGTGTGCGTGCGCATGTGTGTGGCTTTTGTGTGTGCGCGTGCACCCACAGAGGCCCCATGAGTGTATTCCAGAGAGATTAAATGATAAATTTTAATTTTTTGCAATGGACAATCAGCTCTTTTCTTGCCTTGCATGTTCTCATCACTTTGGGGGGGGGGGGAATGCAGCTGTTTTCTTAATTTCCCTTAACAAATGAAGCAGTGACACACAAAGTTGCATGTCCTTATTGTCTTTAATCAGGGGTCTGCAACCTTAAACACTCAAAGAGCCATTTGGACCCATTTCCCACAAAAAAGAAAACACCGGGGTCACAAAACCTTTCCCATGCTTACCTATTTCTTGAGCAGCCACAAAACTAGCGTATGTAGTTGAATTAAACGTTCTGTTTTCTTCAGAAACTTTACTTTTCTTGGATTTCTCCATGGTTGGCCTACCGGGGCTGAAAAGCTCAATAAATCGCGTGCTGGAGGGTGTCGCACTTTGGCGATTGTGATGCATATTTTGAGTGATAGGGAGCTGCAGCAGAGGGGTGAAAGAGCCACATGCGGCTCCAGAGCCGCAGGTTGCTGACCCCTGCTTTAATGAATCAGCCTTTGATATTTGTTTCTACTAAAATTTTGATTGAAAGGTGACTGAAAACAGAGTTTGTGCTCTCCGCTGCTGTATATTTCCCAAGAAACACATCTTAGCAAAGATTCTCAGTCATCCAGGTGGAATTGTCTGGAAACTGAATTGTGGCCACTGGGCTTGTTTTTCTTTTTCTTTTTTTAATTTGATTTATATGCCACCCTTCTCCGGAGACTCAGGGCGGCTTACAGTGCGTTAAGCAATAGCCTTCATACTTTTGTATATTTTATACAAAGTCAGCTTATTGCCCCCACAATCTGGGCCCTCATTTTACCTACCTTAGAAAGGATGGAAGGCTGAGTAGACCTTGAGCCTGGCAAGATTCGAATTTACTTTAATTGCAGGCAGCTGTGTTAATAACAGGGTGCTTTAAACCACTGTACTACCAAGGCATTTTGCTTTGAAATGTTTCGCAGTTCGGAAGCAACTTGGATAAGAAGCCGCGAAATGTTCAAACCCCCCCACCCGAAAAGAAATCAGGTTTCCCAAGAAACACGTCTCAATGGGAGCCGAGAGACTTTAAGACAGGAGTCTCCAACCTTGGCAACTTTAAGACTTGTGGACTTCAACTCCCAGAGTTCCTCAGCCAGCAAAGTTGGCTGAGGAACTCTAAGAGTTGAAGTCCACAAGTCTTAAAGTTGCCAAGGTTGGAGACCCCTACTTTAAGACACGCGCTATTTGCATAATCACTGTAAGAATGCCAACTTAGTAGACAGTCTTCTTTAAATTTAAATTCTTTAAATTCTTTAAATTGCCTAGTCAGCATCTCAAAATGAGACAAGCAAGCAGACCTTTTCAGGTTCTGGTTGTGTTGCTTAATCTTGATGAGGATTATTACGCTGTAGACTGCCAGCTGTTCCACATGCACATTTTTATGTTTTATGTCTCAATTGGTGTCTTTTATATTCAAGGTATACAAATATGCCTGCTGCCTGTAGCTTTGGTAGTACAGTGGTCTAAAGCACCCTGTTATTAAGACCAACTGCCTGCAATTACTGCAGGTTCGAATCTCGCCAGGCTCAAGGTTGACTCAGCCTTCCATCCTTTCTAAGGTAGGTGAAATGAGGACCCAGTTTGTGGGAGCAATAAGCTGACTTTGTATAAATATACAAAAGGATGAAGGCTATTGCTTAGTGCATTGTAAGCCGCTCTGAGTCTCCGGAGAAGGGCGGCATATAAATCAATTTTTTTTTAAAAAAATGAGACCTTGGTATGTGCTGTTATGCAGATGCCTGAACTGTGTCTAGGAAACTTACATCCTCCGGACCCATCTACCAAGGATAGTTACCCAGGAAGTGCCCAACAATTTCCATGATCCACGCTCACAAAGCATGATTCCATTTCTGGGCCCCAGACACGTACCCCAGTCAAGCAGGAACGCAAAAAGAAGGAGATGACATTTTGGTTGCTCTTGGGTTGTTGGGATATGTGTGTTTGTGTGTGTGTTTGTTAGTGATGCATCAGAGAGATTCCATTCCACAGTTCCAATCAGTGCAGGTGGGAGGTAAAGCATGAGCAACAGGAGTAAGTTGTATCTAAAATAGGTAGTACCATTTACCACCTTGAACTTCAAAACGTACCACTCAAAATAGTAGTACCCTGTTTCCCCCCAAAATAAGACATCCCCTGATAATAAGCCCAATTGAGCTTTTGAGCGCATGGCAATAAGGCCAAGCGCTTATTTCAGGGTTCAAAAAAATATAAGACGGGGTCTTATTTTCAGGGAAACATGGTACTGTTTGGTACAGAGTGGTTCTCTGCTGTTCTACACACACACAAAGCAGATGAAACACCCTAATGCAGAGTTTCTCTTGTGGCATTTGTTCTTGAGAGGAGATAACTCCGCTTGCTCCTCCGAAAATCCATGCAGGAGGACGGGCCTGTGACTCATTTACAGAAGAATACAGAATACGAAAGGGCAGAATTTAAACACAATAATAAAAAAAATAAAACAGATACAGGGGTGAAGAGGATACTGTCAAAAGACTGCAACGGCAGGGGCTCTCTTTTTTTCCCTCCACCCCGTTTTTAAGCATCCATTTTTTTCTACCGATGTCAACTGTAAAAAAAAAAAAAAGAAAATCCTCTCAACAATTCCAAACAGGGTGGATTTGATTTAAATCGAGTTGATTTAAATCACAATTTAAATCATGATTTAAATCACTAGTAAAAAGGCTTGATTTAAATCAACTCGATTTAAATCATCATTTTTAAAGCGCAACTGTCATCTCTGCTACTCCTTTGACCCACTGTTGACTCACCGATGGTCCCAGTGTTGCAGAATATACAGCCTCATGCTACATAACTAAGCTCCATTTCATGCTGAATAAACTAAATTATTTCTGTATCTTAAATAGAAAACTATCTTACGGTAGATTTTTACTCCAAAAGTGTTTTATTAAAATAAATTCGATAAAATCAAAAAAATCCGATTTAAATCAAAAAAATCTGATTTTTTTGATTTTTTTAAAAAAATCATTGATTTTTATCCACCCTGATTCCAAATGATACGCAGATGTTGTATGCTGAAAATAGGGAATAGCAGTACCACTGCCGTATTTCTCTTCGTATAACCAAAATCTAAAGGGGGAAATGCCTTTCGTCGACGTTCATTTAGGGACCATTCGAAGTTATAATAGCACTGGAAAAAGTGAATTGTGGCTCTTTTTGGTCACGTGATTAAAATTCACCTTAAGTGTTACCAACTCTTAACAACTGCAGTGATTCATTTAACAGCTGTGGCAAGAAAGGTTGTAAAAATGGGGCAAAACTCACTTAACAGCTGTCTTGCTTAGCCATGGAAATGTTGGGCTCAGTTGTACTCGTAAATTCAAGGACTACCTATTTTGGGGTGGAGGCATATTCTCTTCTCAATTTTCCATATTGAAATTCCCCCTGAATCTTCATTCAGCTGCTGTAATTTATGGACTCCTGGATCAGGTAGCTGCATCTTAATGACCAGTGTTGAATTCGTCTCTCAAATTAACCGTACAGAACAGGGTGTTCTACATGAGGAAAAGTCATTATCAACAACGCAGCCCAACCCTTTGCTGGTTCTGTTTGGCTGATGGCAAAGAGACAACTGAGAAATAGCGTGATCAATGACCAGGGAAAATTTTTTCATCCAAGCTTAACTCCCCTAATCAGGAAATTGCTAAGTTATGTAAAAAAAAGCTCTTCAATGGCGACACAGGTCAATTGCAAACTTTTCTCTCTTTAGTTTACCACTCTGTGATTTCTCTATTACAGTGTTTCTCAACCTTGGTAGCTTGAAGATGAGTGGACTTCAACTCCCAGAATCCCCAGCCAGCACTGCTGGCTGGGGGATTCTGGGAGTTGAAGTCCACCCATCTTCAAGCTTCCAAGGTTGAGAAACACTGCTCTATTACATGTATTTGTTGGTTGAATTATCTTCTCTCGTGTACAGGCTTCTTTCCCTGTAATATTTCCATTTAAGAGAGCTGTAATATCAACCGACAGCATGATTTCCCCAGTGAATCATCTGCGTTTACTTAATTTATCATATATACCGTGTTTCCCCGAAAATAAGACCCTGTCTTATATTTTTTTGAACCCTGGCTTGGTCTTATTGCCATGTACTCAAAAGCCCGATGGGGCTTATTATCAGGGGATGTCTTATTTTGGGGAAAACAGGGTAGATCATCACGGTGGAAATACTCCTTAGCATCTCTAGGGAGGACACAGGAGCTCGGCTCTAGTTCACTGAGGAAACACTAGTTTAGGAGTGAAAAGTTCGGGCGGGGGGGGGGGGAATGGAATATGGGAAACGAGGCTAGAAGACTTCCAAGCCCTGCCTGGACCATCTCGGCAGTGTCGTTCTCTTGCAGCACGAAAGCAGAGATCGCCCGAAAGAAAGAAGGCAGATGCTGTATCCGGTTATCTATATTTTGCATGTTTATTAACAAATGTGTCAAGTAATGATCATACACTGTTCAGAGAAGGAAATTCAATGCAAGGCAAAAAAACCCCCAAACAAACGATGAAAACACTGTATTTTCAACAAAGGAAAATACATATCATACCCAAAGCATCTTCTGCAGAATTTTCAAGAAAACTACTTAAATGCCATCCTACCTTCCCTATTCTGTATTTAAGATCTCAAATTAACCCCCTTTTGGTACACTTAAAATATTCCTAAGGAACCCCATCTAGCAGTTTGTTTTTTTATGCCCAATTTGGAATAACGCAAGGTATGTTTTTAGGAATCCGGGATATGCCTCTATCAAGATATAGCTGTTAATTGATCATGATGAGGAACATTCCAGACTGATTCAATGCTAGAGGACGCATATTGCACTGAGTAAATGGAAGTAGCACACAAGTCCACATATGAGATTTCTCTTCCTGCCTAGGAGTTTGTACATCCCTGCTTTCTATCTCTCTTTCTCTCTGGCTCAGGACTGCCTTGTGTGCCAAAGGAACTCAGCAATCAAAGCTTCAGCCACATCCAAGAGTTTCTGCATTCCAAAGTTAGTGACTCATTGAACACCTAAGAGTAATTTATGCATAAGGATTGTTCCAGGGGGGTTGAATTAGCCTTTCCAAAACTCTTGCCAGTCCCAAATTTATCTGTAGCAAGCCCAGTTAAGAGCCAGCGTCTTAGCATAAATCAGATATATCGCGGCTTTGTGAAAATTTGGCTTGGAATAGGAAATGTAACATTTAAAAAATTGTTTTTCATCCTTTAAAATGGCTATAGGGAATTTTATTGACAAGAACTATGGAGTGAGTTTGTATTGAGCAACTGAGGTTGAATTTACAAAATAAGAAAACGGGTGTAACAATATTCTGCTAGAAGAAAACTAGCTGTTTATTATACTGCCACCAAAGGATATATAACCAGTTTAGGTGATCCACATTTTTGTTAGAAGCATGAACTTCTAACAAGTATGTTTTTCTAAATGTATCTTTGGCGTGTTAATGCCCAACAAATCAACTTGAGGTATGCTCTTGCCTGTTAATTCTTGACTAGAGTTGTTAGACAATAAAATATGAATGCAGTTTTATTGCATTTAATATGTAATCCTTTTTAATAAAAGATGGTTTAGGTTCTGGAAAGAAATCAATCGAACCTGAACATTTCTCAGCGAAGAGCAGCCAGGAGTTAGGGGCTTTCAGAATTACAGCTAATTCTTTTCCATTAAAATGCCTCTTCTGTAAGCAACATCGTGTAATGTTAATTAAATATGCATCTGCTACAGTTTCAAACAGGGCTCTCAGAGGAGTTCCCAATAACAATACGACAAGTTATCAAAACGATTTCAAATGAGAAAAAAAAAAATTGCACCACGCTAGAATAGCAAACTGTTCTTTTTTTTATATACATAAAACGAAAAAGAAGAAAGGGGGGGGGGGGAAACGTGGCACGCTATCAAACGTCCAAAACGGTCAGCCCCAAAACTTGTGGAAGGAAAAGCTTGGTAGTCAGCTGAAAGCCGGATGACGGCAAGAAGACGAGATTCCCCATAGCGATATCCTCCAATCAGTTTCCAGTCTGCATGTGGAACAGTGTTGGGGCAGGAGATCACCGTAATTCTTTTAATCACCTTGGAAGAAAACAGCGATGTTTACCCTGGATTCAATTCCTTGAGAGGGCATTCTGCGCCTTTTTTTTTTTTATTTCCATGCATTCCCTTCTCCATGTTATTGCCAAGGAAACTTAAATGTTTCTACCTATGGAAGGAATTGTGTTTCTTCCACGAACATCTATGGGTGGTCAGGTTTGGACTTCCCCTATCTGATTCCCAACCATGGGCAAACTCCATGGTCTCTGGGAATTCTAGGCAGCATCGAATCAAGCCAAATCTGACCTGGGCTTGAGAGCACTGTCCTGGTGAGGGGTTTTCTTGTTGTTGGGTGGGAGGATGTCTGGGCAGGGGAAGGGGCTTATTAAATCATTAAGACAGTGATGATATGTTTCATTTCCCCGTGCAGACATTCGTCTTTTGAGCATGAGAATCTGGGTGTCCGTATCTTATTGAAGTAATAATTGTATTAAAAGATGGCAAAGGAAACATGCCCAATGGCTTGGAATCTGCCAATGCAGGGGTCTCCAACCTTGCCAACTTTAAGCCTGGAGGGCTTCAACTCCTAGAATTCCCCAGCCAGGTTTGCCAAGGTTGCCATGGTTGGAGACCCCTGTGCCAATGTTATCCCAAAGGTGCTTTTTCAAGGGGCAACTGGACTTTGTGGTTTTTCTTTGAAGACGTTTCGCTTCTCATCCAAGAAACTGCAGTAGAGCTGAAGAAGCTTCTTGGATGAGAAGCGAAACGTCTTCAAAGAAAAACCAGAAAGTCCAGTTTTTGCCTCTTGAAAAAGCACCTCTAGGACAACCATGACCTGGATGGACTGAGAATCTCCATAGAATCTGCCAGTGATTTAATCTCTAGTCCAGAGACTGTTCCCCCAATTAAATTTTCTTTCCTCAGACAAAATGCAAAACTGACTCTATGTGCTTGTCTCCCGAGACTGGGAGGTAAGGGTATCCTCATTGGCCAGCACCGAAATCTGATCGTCTTTGTGACGGAGAAAACAAAACATAGAAATGGAAGATAGCATTCCTCCAATTGATGATAGAGATGAATTCAAGCACGGTATTTTTCCAAGCCAGACCAGTACATCGATTGGGATGAATATCTGAGAAGGACAGGTTACAATAAATATAAAAATGGGGAAATCCACTCCTTTTGTGACAGAGCCACTAAGGTATGATTAAAACCAGGGGTGGGCTGCTGGGGGTTCGTAGGGGTTCGGGAGAACCTCTAGCCAAGATTCTGTGCAGTTCAGAGAACCCCCAAATCCCACTCCTAGCTGGCCCCACCCACCCCTCCCCTCCCCTCTTAAGAGTCCCCACGCGGCCCATTCTGGATGTAGGTAAGTGCAGGACATGCGTGGAGGCTCGGGGAGGGTGAAAAACAGGCCTTCCGGAAATTCGTTTCCAGCCTCCAGAGGGCCTCCGGAGCCTGGGGAGGCCGTTTTCGCCCTCCCGGAGGCTCAAGTAAAGCCTCCGGAGCCCGGGGAGGGCAAAAACACCCCCCCTCCACCGTGGTGCAGGAGGCCAACTAGGCCATGTCTACCATGGCCATCCAGCAACCAGGCAGAGAACCTCTTGCTAAAATTTTTGAAGCCCACCCCTGATTAAAACTTTAAAAAGGTTAACTTTAATTAAAAAGGTTGACTCAGCCTTCCATCCTTTCGAGGTAGGTAAAATGAGGACCCAGATTGTGGGGGCAATAAGCTGACTTTGTATAAAAAAGAACACCGCTTAGGGGAGGCCCCGAAAGCCCTACTAAGCAGGTATATACAAAAGTATGAAGGCTATTGCTTAACGCATTGTAAGCCGCCCTGAGTCTCCAGAGAAGGGTGGCATATAAATCGAACCAATAAATAAATGAATGAATGAATGAATGAATGAATGAATGAATGAATGAATGAATGAATAAAACATGCCAATTTTAAATATAGGCTATTCTGATACACGTTTCCAGTGCACATGCAGTTTTAGCTTTAATGCTGGAAAAAAATATCACCAACACAGATAAAAGTGCAGAGGAAGAAAGAGAAAGGGAATACCCAGGGCAGGCTCTGCCCATGAATTATCTTGGAGGGTGGGGGAGACCCCTCCAATTGCCATAAGAATAATGTAAATAAAGTAAGAATTCCCTGGCGTAGCACTTTTCCAACTTCCTTTGGCCACGAATTTAAAATCGCTCCTATTTCTTATAAAACAGATTTCTATTAGCAATCCTGGCAACTCAAGGAGGCCGCATGGATTCAGAAAGTTTCTGAGGAAACGGGAGCAAAAGACAAGGCAACCTGACCGGTCCCTTTGGCAGGGGAGGCCTGAACTGCATAGCCGTGACAGTGCCGTAACTCAAGCAGTCACGCATTTAACGGCCCCATAAACGAAGAAGTAATTTAAGCGCACAACCAAATTGCATGGGAAGGGGAGTCCACTAGACCACAAAAAGGAAACTCGTCCCACACAAGCTGCGTTGTGTTATGCAAGCGAGGTGAACAAGGCTCCTTCGGGCTTTAGAGGTTTCACTATAAACTGCAAAAAGCTACACATTATGACTAGGAAGCTAAAATCTTTCTGGTAAGACAAATTCGGCCTTTCTTTCCTAAATGTCCTGCTAATGGGTTTAAATACTCAAAGAGCCATTTGGACCCGTTTCCTACAGAAAAGAAAACACCGGGAGCCACAAAACCTGGGTGGGCGTGGCCAACTCGATGTCACTCAATTCCACCAGTCACATGACCTCCCCTAGCCACACCTACCCAGCCTGTCATTAGGGCAGAGAACCAGTTGTTAAAAAACACCAGGAACCACAAAATCCTTTTGACATATCTCTCTCTCCCCTTCCTCCCCCCTCTCCCTCTCTCTCTGCATCTCTCTATGTCTCTTTCTCTCCCCCTCTCTCTGCATCTCTCTGTCTCTGCCCTGGCTGCTTCTCCATCCCCCACCATCGCCCTTACCTTCTCAGGCCAGGTAAGGAGTGACTGGGAGGGGAAGGCGAGGGGCGGGACCAGCCAGTGGTGGGATCACCTGACAGGGAGCCACAGCAGAGGGCCCAAAGAGCTGCATGCAGCTCCGGAGCCGCAGTTGCTAACCCCTGAATTACTCTTCAACCCAATTAAAAAAAAGAAAATGGGTTTTCAAAGTGTCATATGGGAAACCACTGGGTTTTTTTTTGAAAAAAAAATAGATCTTTATTAGGAATTACTCAATAAGATGGGATGGCAGCTGATGAACAAAGACTCCTGAAAGTCCATTTGTCCACTACCTGCAATCTTTGCTTGAAGGGCCAGGGAATGCTGGGGATGCTAACGTTTACAAGGCAGGGCACAGTGAAACTGAAGAGGTTTGCTCCAGATTCTGTATGAACTGACCATATGCCCTCAACAATGGTTTTTAAAACATCTTCCTTGGACACCAACTTGTCCCTGGGGGTCACACGGTGTCCTAGAAATAAAGGGTTAAAAACCACTGTAGACGGAAGGGAAGACAGAGATCTCGGCTTGATTAAAAACACTCTGCTTGGTGACAGCAGTGATAAGCAAGCCGGCAAAAACTGTGAAAGTAGCCAAATGTATGTCCTTCTAAGCAGCTGCACTCTCCATCCGTCCCCGGAGAGTCTTCTACTCACCCTGAGCCTGAAGCTTTCAAGCATGGTCCTGCAGTCAAGCCTGAGAATAGATGGCCGGAGGGAAGCTATAACTTGAGCTCCCTGTCCGGTTTCATACAAAAAGGTTCCAGCCGCTCGTTCTCGGGCAGCAGGCTGTTCAGCCTCTCCATCAGTGGGACAGTTAGGTCAATGCCCATCTGGACACGCCGGAGGATGGCGGACATCTCGTTGACTTTCTGGATCTGCTCAGCATACTTGGCGTACCTTTTCTGGCGCTCTTGCATTAAAGTGTACAACGTTTCTACCGAAAGATCCATCTGTAAAAATAAACGACAAGAGAAACAGCGCTTAGCACTTCGACTTATGTACCGCTTCACAGTGCTTGACAGCCTTCTCTTAAGCGGTTCACAGAGTCAGCTTATTACCCCGCCCCTAAAACCGGGGTCCTCGTTTTGCCGATCTCGGAAGGATAGAAGGCTGAGCCAACCCTGAGCCGGTCAGGATCGAACTCCTGGCAATGGGCAGAATTAGCCTGCAATACTGCACTCTAACCATTGTGCTGCCACCACGGCCAGACATGGATTATTAATATTCCCTTTTCGGTATGAAAAAGAGTTTCTTTCTTCCAACAGTTTGTATGGCGACCCTAACTCTTAACCCTGACAAAAGGACTCTGGGAGGATTGTGAGAGGTCATATTGGCAATCACCATCATCATGAGGAGATCCTATCCCTGCCTACATGGGGATGACCACAAAGACTATCCAGAAACTACCACCAGTTCTGAAAGCTACCAGAGTTTGCCCATGTTAACATCACTGCTGCATGAATTCCACTGGCTTCTACTTACGCTCCAGGTGCAATTCAAGGTAGCATCACCTTTAACGCCCTAAATGGCAGGAGGCACTTTATCTATGGGGTGGCCTCTACCCGAGATTTGCCTGTTCCACCAGGTCAAATAGGCTGGGCACACTCCAGATCCTTTCCCTTCAACCAGGGGTCTGCAACCTTAAACACTCAAAGAGCCATTTGGACTCCTTTCCCACAGAAAAAAAAAAAAAAAACACCGGGAGCCACAAAACCCTTCCCGTGTCTGGCTATTTATTGAGCGGACACAAAACTAGCATATGTAGTCGAATTAAATGTTCTCTTTTCTTCTGAAACTGTTATTTTCTTGGATTTATCTATGGTTGGCCTACCGGGGGTTAAAAAACTCAATAAACCGTGTGCCAGCGGGTGTCACGCATTGGTGGTTGTGATGTATAGTTTGAGTGAAAGGGAGCCACAGCAGAGGGGTAAAAGAGCCACATGCGGCTCCAGAGCCGCAGATTGCTGACCCCTGCCTTAAACGTTGCCGTCCTGTGGGACTTAGGCAGTGTGTGCTTTCTCAGCAGTGGTCCTTTGTAAAACTCTCTCATCTGAGAATCAGCCAGCCCTTACAAGGTGAGAGATGAGTTGTTTGGAGAAGTAGCGAGTTTTTAATTTGGTTTTATCCGTTTTATTGTTTTATGACTGAAACAGCCTGGGCTACGGTGGATAAGATGGGCAGCTCTGCTTGTCATTTAAACAAACAAACAAAAGCATTCCCCTTGCTGAATGTCTCTGTGGTATCCAAGAATAGAATAGAATAGAATTCTTTATTGGCCAAGTGTGATTGGACACACAAGGAATTTGTCTTGGTGCATCCGCTCTCAGTGTACATACAAAGAAAAGAGACATTCGTCAAGAATCATAAGGTACAACACTTAATGATAGTCATAGGGAACAAATAAGCAATCAGGAAACAATAACTTTTTAAAAAGCCACTCGAAGAAGGATAAGGGTAAGGATTATCGACGCATACAAATTTGCTCTCAATTTGCTACCTTTCCCCTTCCTTTCACTCATTCTGTGCACCGCCCTGAGTCCACTAGGAGAAGGGCAGGATATAAATTGAATAAATAAATAAATAAATAAATAAATAAATTCTAAGTTCTTTGGAACAGAGATCTTTTCAGTCATTTAGGAATGGAGGAGGTGGCAGCAAAAATGTTTTGCTCACTTTTGTGCCTTAAAATATAATTTAATGCTTCTTTTGTAAAAAAAAAAAAAAAAAGATGAAACCCAAAAGGCAAAAATATTATATCCTAAACTTTTAAAAGTGGAAAATGCAATCTTTCCTTCACAGGAAACCATTTCTTACTTTTACTTGATCCTAGAACATATTTTTAATTACATATTGTATGTATTGAAACAATATGTATTTAAATACATATCGTGTTGAGTTGGATCTCTATGAAGCAGCTGGAAGACAGAACAACTTTCTCCTAAAATCCCAATAAACAGTCCTGCTTCCAAAGACAATTTAAAAACTTCCAAGTAACCTTATTCAGGCCTACATTTTGCAACTTCCAGTAATCCAGAGACTACATTATGATTGGAGCCATAAAGGCCTACCTCAAAAGTATCCTTTTTAGAGACCTCTAGAGCAGTGATGGCAAACCTTTCTGGCACCAAGCGCCCAAACTGGAACGCAAGTGCATGCGCGCGTGCTGGAGCACCGGAAACCCGAAGACCAGCTGGCCGGCATAGAAACCGGCGCGCGCATGCCTGTTTTTGGGTCTGTTTCCAGGCCATTTTTCAGCTGTTTTTAGGGCCGTTTTTCGGCCTGAAAACCTCTCCCACAACAGCCAAAAAACAGCCTGAAAACAACCCTAAAAATGGCCTAAAAACAGCCTGAAAATGGCCCAGAAAACGGCCCGAAAACGGCCTGTTTTTTGACCATTTTGGGGGGCGTTTTCAGCACTCCAGCACTCGCAAAGACCAGCTAGCTGGCACTCATGTGCACACCGGAAATCAGAAGAGCAGTTGGCGATGGGCACATGTGCCCACAGAGAGGGCTCTGCGGTGTGCCACCTCTGGAACGCGTGGCATAGGTTCACTATCACGGCTCTAGAGCAAATTCCTTTAGGGATATTTGGGGAGTTGGAGTCAACCCATCAAAGTGTCAAGTTTGAAAAATACCACTTTAAGAGCATGAAATTCCAATATAAATCATTGTTTGGGGCATGCCAAAATACAACAGTTCCATGTAAAGCTATCTGGAAAGCAGGGCTTGACCCCAAGGAGATGAAACCGGCGGCCTCGCCAAAGAATAGGCAACTCTTGACAACAAAAATACTTGAACGTAGCCTCATTAGGCAAAGAGCCCACCTGCCCTGCAGAGGTTTGTTTGAGCATAAAAATAAGACTAGATCCAATAAGCAATCTTTCCGGTGAACTGATGAGCCGAGATCCTCTGATCTTTTTAACTTTTGTTGCTTGCAGTTTGAAAATTGCTAAACCAAAATTATGGGCTTTATTTTTAAGTGGGGGGGAAAAAAAAGGCAACGGATATGTCATTACATGTGTAACGAAGAACCGAGGCCATCAATTTACTCAATAAAAGGTGGTTTAACTTTCCTTTCTATATCTATGTGATTCCCTAGGGAGTATAAAATGACTTGATAGCACATGATCCACCAATTAATCAAAGCTTCCTTTCACTAGCAGAATTTTCTAGCTGTTGCTATAAAAAAAAGTACTGTTTTCTGAACAACTATCCTATTTAATCTTCCTCAGCCCAGACTTCCAGAGGCGGGATTCACATAATTTAACTACCGGTTCGCCAATGTGAGCATGCACCACTGGGCATGCGCCCGGCCTTCCGCGCATTTGCTTTGCTTGCGTGTGTGCCTTCCGCGCATGTGCCAGGTCTCAAATATGTGCCTAAATAGGGCAGCATAGAGCCCGGGGGGGGGGGGGGGGGAAGAGCCCATCCGTGATTTCCGCTACCGGTTCGCCCGAACTACTGGTTCGCCCAAACCGGCTGAATACCACCTCTGCACACTTCCAATTTGCAATCAATTCTAATTTTACCAGAAAATTTTCTTCCAAACCCCTTCGCCTCAGACAGAAAGTCATAAACAGTTGGTTTTCCCCCAGGGGTAGCTGTTGTGGCCCGCCAGCGGCCAGCAGATTTGGACTGTGAGGAGGTTAGGGAGGAACGTGGGCCAGTCCTGGAGTCTGGAGAAGGTTCGGATGAGGGCTCTGAGTCGGAGGCAGAGAGGGGGCCAAGGCCATCTGGTAGTTCCTTGCTGCCTCCGGAGTCTCTGGAGCCTGACATCAGCGAGGCAGAAGAAAAGCGTGAGCCTATTCCCAGTGTGCACATGTGCAGAGCTGCCAGGAGACAGGAACGATTAAAGAAACAGGGTCGACTTGGGAGTAAAGCTTGGAGATGATTGGCCCATCCCATAAGACATAAAAGTGAAGCGAATGGGACGTGAGCTTTTGCAGGAAACAATTAGTTCATTTGGCCGTTTCAAGATTTGAAACTTCTGTTTGTGACTCTGTGCCAAGTTTGGCGTTGCCTTGCGTCTCGAAATTAGCTATTTGGCAGCGTTCCACGTGAGATAGGTGGGTGTTGATAACCTTCCTCTAAAAGACTGTTTATCAAGCCCTGCGGATTGTAAATGAAAGTAATTTACAGATGTATGAATTAAAGAGGTTTGCCGGGACTATGTTTCTGCTATTTAATTTCTAAGGAACAATAGCATCAAGGAGAGTTTAGACCCGAGGATTGTATGATAGATTGGCGATTGTGGGTCAGGGGCCTGGTTTTCTTGGCTTTTTTATTTTTTTTGGCAAGCTACCTACACTTATGTGCTACAAGATGGGCACTGGTATAACTCTCATAAGTAAATAAATAAATTTTCCTACCTTTGTTTTTCCCAGTATTTAGTTATTGCCATTAGTACTCTAAGTAACTTATTTATTAGTGATCAAATTTTTATTATTTTTTTTATTAGCAAACCTCTCAGTGTGGCAAGCTATATCCATTGTGCTCTCTTGGAAAAAGGGTTTACCTGCTATTTTTTCAACACTAATTAAATTGACAATACTGCAAACCAATACAAACAAATCCGCCTTGGGGTCTGAATTCTTCAGAATCATACCCTTTGCAACTCTTCAATAAACTTGCTTCATATTTCAGTAAATGCCCCACTGGCAGAAATATTCATAATAAACCGTCTTAATGTAGCTTATGAGGATCTTCAGCCAACACAACATACCTACATACTTTAAACCCAAGAATACACTAGGGCAAAAGCTTGTCCACTCCAAGGATAAAACATCCAGACACAAACTAAGCAACATGGTATAATGCAGTACAATGCAGTGAGCCATGTGCAGATCTGTACATTGGAGAAACAAAACAACCACTTCATAAACACATGACACAACATAGGAGAACAAACCCATCAGGACAAGATTCAGCAGTCCATCTGCATTTAAAAGAC